TGACGATATTAGTGCTGACAAATTCAAAGTAGGTGAATTATCTCTTCTTAAATGGCTTCATGAAATATTTGTTGATATTTGGCAAAATGAAGGAATAGTCGACCATTGGATCTTAGCCATTTTCATTCGTTTTTTTAAAAATAAAGATGACAAAAAACAATGCGATAATTATCTTGACATCTCTCTATTAGTAGTAGCAAGTACATTATTTACCGGAGTAATTCTTCATCGTCTTCAAAAATTAATTGATAAATAATTATTAGAACGACAAGCAGGTTTCATATATCCAACAGTCCAACTATCGATCAAATATTTATAGTTAAAATGATTATAGAAAAATTAAGAAAATATAATAAACCATTGTTTATGTGTTTTATAGATATTCAAAAAGCATATGATTCAGTTAAAAAAGAATTATTATGGAAAATTTGTCAACATTATGGTTTAACAAAAAAAATCGTTCGGTTACTTAAGTTAATATATAAAAATACTAGAGGAAAGGTAGGAATGAATGGTGTGTTTTCCGAAAGTTTTGTTATTGAAACTGGTGTTATGCAAGGGAGAACTCCTTTATCTATTTTATTATATATCCTATTCGATTTCATTATCAGGCAGGTGTTAGAAGAAGCACCACGGAAAGGTATTAAATGAGCCTATGGTAGCAATAATTTTTATCATCATAATTGAGAAAAGTACGAAAAATTTAACATTCTAACATTAGTGTATGCGGATGACCTACTCGCAATGCGTAATAACATAAATGATCTTCAAATTTTTATTGATGTTTTTGAAAAAGTAACACAAAAAGATGGCTTAATAATGAATGTGAAGAAGACATGTACAGGGTGTAAAAAAACCATTACGCCCCCCCTTCCAGACCTAAAGACCAAATAGTACCCCCAACAATTTTATACCAAATGAAAGCCCGCAAAAAGTTACGTCTAGTGGTATAGTCAGAACAAATATAGTTTGTAATATTATAACGATTCTAGGCTCAATACATCATTTTCACTTATGTATCACAGTCTCATATCAATTGAAATGATACAAGTTATCTTTCTTCACTTTCGAATTACGTATTAATAGATCGTAGTTTTCATGGCTCCAAGTTTTTATTAAATGTACGATATTGTAGACCAATATGTCACGTATTTTGCCAAATTTTCGTTTTCTAATGTTATATTTGAGTATCACAAAGCACGTGAGCGAGTTGAGTAATGTTTATTGTGAATTATCAAAAGCCTTACTATTGATGACTGATAACGAGAAGAAGGAACAGAAAAAAAGAAAGTTATGTGCACATTTATGCACGAACAGATAAGAAGCGAATACAGAAAAGAAAATGATCGAGTGTCGAAATATTTTCAACTTTTTTCATTGATTTTCTTTCTGAGTATCTGTTGTCCGCGCAAGTAAGTTTTATTCACGTTAGACGTTGAACAATTTGCTGATTAGTTAATAAAAAATTCTATGGTACATTAATTGAAAAACCAAAATGGCTAATCTGCTTCATGATTCGGAAGAGCAACGATTCGTTGACAGAATTCGATGTGTCACATATCGTGAAATACGTGACGAACTGATTGCAAGAACAGGAGACTCAATTATTACTCGCCCTTGGATTTCCGAGAAGCTACGTCGCAGTGAAGATTGGGTACGACGAAATTGGAATAAATCTATCGAAGAATGTTATACACAATTTGGCAGTGGTCGACCCCAGGTGCTTAATCAGGAGAGCAGAAACATTATCTCTTCTGCAAGTGGTGTCAAAAGCAGTAGCTGTCGAAAAGTTGCAAGAGAGATTTTAGAGAAAACAAAACAGCGGGTGAGTCACATGACTATTTACAATGAACGCCATCGGCAAGGATTAAAAGCCTTCCATGTGATTGCCAAGCCACTGAAGACAAATACACATATCGAAGATCGCAAGTGGCTAGCAAATTTTCTTACTGATTGGACTGAAGAAGATTTTCTACATGTTGCACCTTCGGATGAATTTTACATTTATGTTGTAAGAAAACCAAACCATCAAAATGATCGAATTTGGGCAAGAAGTATTGAAGACATCAGTGATGATGAAAGATACCGAGAGATGGTTTACAATGCAACATGTATTGGGGTTTTCGTCATGTTTACTGCAAAAAAACTACTTTGGGTGCTAAAAGAACATGGACAGTCTTGGGATGGCGCTTATTTTCGTGACACTATCCTTCGACAACAGGTGATCCCATTTCTTCGTGATTCGTCCAATGTTCTCGATACGAACGAAGTGATATTTCTTCACGACAAGGCACCTTGTATGAAAGCGAATGCAACACAACATCTTTTAGAAGATGAGAATGTGAATTTCTGGGAAAATTCAATTTGGCCAGGCAATAGTCCTGACATGAATCCTGCAGAAAATATTGGTGCAATTATTAAAGATAAAGTTGAGGAACTAATGGCAAATGAAGATCGTCGTAGCAGATACAATTACGATGCACTGAAAACGAATTTGGAGAATACGCTCAAAGATCTTGAAAATGATACAGATCTTTTTATTGACTTGTTATGCTCGATGCGAAAAAGATTTGATGCTCTCAAGGCTGCTGATGGGGGTCATACGAAGTTCTGAAACTTTCGAAAAAGCATTTTTTAGTATTCAATATTATCAATAAACTGAATAATTAATGATTCACAACTTAAGTTACTGTTAAGCACAACGGCTTTTGACGTACTCGAGATTGTGATATATAAGTGAAAATGATGTATTGAGCCTAGAATCGTTATAATATTACAAACTATATTTGTTCTGACTATACCACTAGACGTAACTTTTTGCGGGCTTTCATTTGGTATAAAATTGTTGGGGGTACTATTTGGTCTTTAGGTCTGCAAGAGGGGGCGTAATGGTTTTTTTACACCCTGTATATACAAAGAGTATTGTAAGGTTTTTTTTTCTTCATAATAAAGAGATCATATACAAAAGTTTCTCATATAAATGATAAACAGACGGAGTTCTAAAAAACATTTGTATTGTTAATTTTGAATATTTTAATTGTTGTAATGTCAAACGAGCTGTTATTTACAAAGAAATTTCGTATTATATTTATATATTTTTCCTCATCATCGCGATGATTTTTGTCTTTATTAATCCAGATTTTAATTAGTTTTAAATTTAATGGTATAATTGAATTTGTTGTCGTAGTTGACGATGTCTATTATAGAAAAATCTAATAGAAATTTGCTTTCTAAAAAGTAGCATTGAAGTGAGTCTAAATTCTATCGAATAAATCCGATTCAACAAATGCTACAGTCAATTATGAAATCATCCCATTTTTTCGAATGGCTATTAGATTTAGATTGAAAAATTTTACTGAGAAAGTCTAATGGTGGTTTTTGCATACTCTGTATTGTTGGCGATAATCGTAAAGTTCAAAATCAATTGAATTTATTATTAAGTTTCTTAATTCTGGTAGATACGGTAATAAATTTTCTGTCATTGTATCAAAGGCTATTGTTGTTGTTGTTGTATGATACCTATCAGAGATATCTATGGATATAAGTTAGAGACATGTGTAAAATTAAAATAACTTACTTCCAATAATAATTGTTTCTAAATTACTTAATAAGTTTTTTCTTCCTGATACACCTAAGTACAAAGAAACGTACTTATCGGGTGTGAACAAACCACATTCAGATGCACAGCAATGTGGTTTAAAATTTAAATTCAAATATTTTAATGATTTCATTTTGGATGATATCAATTTGCAACATAAATCTAAATAGAAAAATTCGAGTTTTGTATCTTAAATATAATTAATCAATCAGATTTGAATTGTTATTCTTACTTTCTCTGTCAAAGACTCCACTATGTTTTGCACCGATTCCATCCAGTAAGCTTAATTGTTCTAAGCTTTCATACAATTTTGCTGTTTTATCAAATATTATAGAATATACAATTTCAACGTTGATATTTGATAATGATAATGATTTTAATTTAGAAAATTTATCTTTAAATAAATCATCTTCTAATATTAAATTAATTCTGTATTTATCATGAACTACAATCGATAAAGGATAGTTTTCACTAGTTGTTATTAATTGATTTAATTGAAAACAAAATGTTAAAAATTTTCTAGATGGAATTAAAGATAAATCAATGTGAATTTTTGTTTCATATTGAATTAGTTGATTAAAACGTTGATTTAAATAGAAAAATATTTCATATAAATGAAAGAAATCAAAATAATGAAAACACATTAGTAACAGCTCGTTTGGTAATTGTTCAAATTTTGTAATTGAAGTTGTGTTTAAACTAAAGAAAATATTAGAAAATAACAATAATTAATAAGACTTACATTTTCATTGTTTGTTGTTCTCTGACGTTTTATGTCGGACATTAGGATTTTCTACTACAGAGTATCAAAAAGCATAGCATCGCATATATATATACATGTGTTCGTGTGTGCGTTAATAATTGAAATATTCTAACCGGATACATAGCCTGACCTTTTGTCCGCTTAGAAGTATAATGACCGCTACATCGTTGTATCTATCTTCTTCCTGACCGTTCTTTGATTTTTATTCTCTGCGATGGAGTAGTGTGATTAACATCTGTATCGAGGTGACGGCAGCATTACTCTTTCAGTTTGTCAATTCATATTAAATAAAATATGCATAGCTGTAGTAATGAAAGAGCATCACTCAGAATTACGTTACAATATATTTGTGCAATTACTGAACATTGCGAAAAAATATACAGATAAAGGAAGTTCATTTTTTGGTGTTTCGTTCACTATCTCCATCAACACAGTTATGTTCTATATTTATCTTATAGTCATACCAAACATTTGGTATAAAATTTGACAACTTGTAGCATCGATTCTTGATCAATTTATTGTTTGGATCTGACACTAACCAAGACAAAGTGTGATACTCATATTGAATATACGATCCAGACGTATCTGAAACATTGAATCAAATGAGCTAAAATCTTAAAGATATTTTCATCGGACGAGAACAGTTGATGAATAAAACTTCATGTGCTAGATATAAGTTATACATTCTGTTTATCTTCATTTACAGAATTATCATAAAAGAACTGTATTTATTCTTTTTTGTTTAATTGAATTCAAAATTCTCTCATAAATATTTCCTATAGATTCGTTACACCTTCAGATCACATGCGTAGACAAAAACTTCTCAAATGAATTCACTTCACATTGACGCTAAAATATTGTATTTTACATACTTATGGACATAAAATAATTCCATAGTTTCCTTCGCTTTATACAAATGTGTACCTATAAAAGACAAAGAAAAAATCTTCACGAAATCGATGGTATTCGTTATGAATTGTAGCGCAAATTGATGCACAAACTTGCTTACTAATAACACCATCCATTTTTAATTCTTTTGAGGCGATGGACCTACCGGTGAGTCCCGCAACAGGGCGACCAAAAAGCTCATTTGTCGCAGAAAAAATTAAATATCTCTACTATACTTTCACCAAAGGGACTAGTTTTTTCTCAACGTTGATAAAAGTTGCTTTGAAGTATTACAGTTGCTAGAAACAAAGAAAACCTTCCATGAATTATAAAAAAACAATATTTATGTCACCATGAATGGATTAAAGAACAATCAATGTTAAGTACGAATGTTTGAATTCTTCAACTGCGTATTTTTTTTTATTGTTAGCAATAAAAAACAGGAAATCTATCTTGATAGATCGGTTAAAGAAACATTGTGAGTACTCAAAATCTCATTCGTACTGGTTAACAGTGCCAACAACACACACGTCTCATTTATGCCAATTAATTCTTAGTCAACGATAATTACCGAGTTTTCTTTTGTACTAGAGTTAGCTTGTGTTTACATCATGGTACACCGTTACAATACTTGCCGAATGTCGAATCCATCTTTCGCCCACTTTGGTCATTCCTCATCTTTTTTACTCTATTAGATATACTAACACAATTTGTAACTGAAGAACAAAACGCAATGAATTTAGAGTTGTTTCCCAACGAAATCTTACTTGTTATATTTGAATATTTTAACGATATTGAACTTCTTTTTATATTTGATGGTTTAATTTCCTTCTTTACAAACAATATCGAGCCTATTGTTTTCGGTTCGATGGTATATTGAAACGTAATTTTGATATGATATATCAACAACATTTACCATTTATTACCGATCGAGTTATTGATCTTCACATTACTGATGATAAAGATATTCCAGAACAAATGAGTATCTTTCTATCTTGCATACCATCATTCTGTCAATTCACTAACTTACGATCACTCTCACTATACAACGTTCCTTCATATGAAATGCTCATGAAAATTACCGGTAATTATCATCATAGCGCTAACTTTACTCATTCAGACTTAAATGCTTGCTTTTCTCAAGACCATAAAGCAGATTTTCAATTAATTGTTAACACTATTTCGAATTTTTCAAAACTTATATTTTGTAATTTTGATATTATTATTGAAGAATAAAATTTTCTTTGTGTACCGACAATAATTTCCTCATCTCTCAATCATGTTTCTATAGATAGAAGTAATCTTACATTAAATCAAATATATCTGTTGTTTGAATACACATCTTGACTTAAATGGTTTTCAATATTTCTTAATTCTCACAATGCTGATAATTTTACATCATATCTATTATCAACACTAATCAATCTTGACATTAGTATTTCGGATATGTTTACTACTTTATAAATGATTTCTTTTTTAAAGAACATTCCTAATCTATATCGTTTGCATATTCGTTTAGGGTCTAACTTAATCGATGGAAACGAATCATTGGTAATTATTTGCAGCTTGATACTTCCTGTCTCATTGAAATCGACATATCCACAGGATAATCATCAAGAATTTTATCAAAGCATAAATCATGTTTATGACAAAGAATTTTTTACTTCCTCGATTCCATCCGATATTTGTTTTCCTTTATTTACGTGAAACTGCCTTTCAATGATCAATTTTGGTCTATTTTTCCATATCTAATTCGATTATAGTAACATCTCATGCTGACAAATTTCAATCTCAATTTAAAGCTTTACTTGATCGAGTATATCATCTTGGTAGAATAACTATTTGACAAGATGAAACATTACCGTTGCAAAAGTCTTTATTTATCCATCAATTTGTAGACTTCGTTTATATGATTATCCTCATTTTAATGAAGAAGAATGTATTTTATTGTCTCATTCACCTTTAAGCACTCAATGTCCAATATTTTCTATTGTGGTCAAAGATCGTCAAAGTATTAATTATTGTTTTTTGTTAAAAATATGAAAAATATTTGTGCATTAGTATCACTTGTTCATATAAAAATTACCATCATCGTGTTTTATCGTAAGAAGTCGACTTTCTGCTACTCGTATTCGTATATGGATGTAAGGAATAGTGATAATTGACAAATACTGTATATATACGTCTATACGAATTAATCATGTTATTTTCATTTATTCAACTAATGTTAAATACAATTTTGACAAATAGAAATAAAATTCTGTTCGATTATAATTCACATTTCTATGAAACAGATAACAGAAAATATGAGAAATCATTTTTAATATTGTAATTTTAGATAAACGCTTTTCATTTGCGTTTGTAATTCTGAAAATTATTGATAATATAAGCTAATAATGATGAATATTGTACAATGTTAACGCAAATCACTAGAAGAAGGACTTTATTTTGTTTTCAATACTGTTCATTGTTACCACCCTCAATTTTTTTTCAGTAGCACGATCATCAAAATATGAGTCATATTTTACATCAGAGTGAAATTGATACACGTCTCTTTCAGGTGCATGGCTCGTTATTTATACACAAAAAACAAATGATTAAACGGAAGATACACATATAATAAGCAAATTAAAGTCATTTCGAGTTATTTTATCCCATCCACATAGGTGAATGTAAGTGTTATGTTTATTGTTCGTCCCTATCCACCCACAGCAAGTAATACTTATATTGATCTTAGAAATAATAGAAACGACGAAAATTGAATGCATACTGCATATTTAGAATGTGTCATAGAAAAAGTGTCGTGCAGTCAATTGGAAAAATCTGGCACAACGAATACATCGTGTCACATTTCTTTATATCTTATATTCTGGTCTAAAATGCGACACAGATGAAAAATTTTATCTTTAAGTGTACATATTGCTATACAAAAGAGTAGAAAAAAGATCAGTGTAAGATATGATCAAATGAAAAATGGTTAATCAAATTTGATCTGATTAATAATTATGAAAAAAAATACGTAGAGAGGTTTGGTTTCTAATTTTGGAAACTAGACAAGTCATTCTATTGAACTGTGTCAAACTGATACAATTAATACATATTGAAATATCATTACTGAATGGTGAAGCACATCTTGGACAATGGCACCAAAAATTGTTCTGTCGTTAATTTTATATCTCAAGATCACAATCGATATACATCTCTTAGCAAAAAAAATACCCACACTCTGATACTTTTTAATCATATTTGTGGAGTTTGCTCATATCAATAAAAACTTGATGATGATATCCATTATATAAAAAAAATAATTGAGACACCCCAGTGAAAAATTTTGGCGATTTTCAATCGGATTTTTCTGCAACAAAATCAAAATTAAAATCGATTGATAATTTTGATTATTGTTGATCCTGACTTAACTAGTTTTTGATGTTGTTTCTTATCCTGTATGAAATTTTCTGATTGAAATCGGATTACTGGATGCAAAATCATGATTATCAATCGATTAATAATTTCGATTAACTGCAAAATAATTCGATTTTAATCAGAAACTTTCATACAGGATAAGGAACAACATCAAAAAATCGTTAAGTCAGGATCAACAATAATCAAAATTATCAATCGATTTTAATTTTGATTTTGTTGCAGAAAAATCCGATTGAAAATTGTCGAAATTTTTCACTGGGACCTGGTATAAAGCCACTTTTCACATGGTTTTTTCTAATCATGGAACACATAGAGTTTATCTTGTACGCCTTTCCTTCTGAGAAAAACGACAGATGCTTAGTTTGGTCAAAAATTCACGGCTTTTTCTGTCTATATAGTTGACGTGATTATAACAAAGCAGCATCAATCCATCCTTCTCTATCTCTTTCATTCTTATCTTACCTCTTCAAGCAATAAACAATCGTACGGACTACCTTAATCGTAAGTGCATGTTTGAGGGTGTAAATTTTGCTCCTCGCTCACGAAATGGTATAACAAGTTCAGAATTTTTTTATTCGTTCATATCAACCTCTGAAAATTTACTTTTAAACTGAATAAAAGTTAAAATTCTTCATTATACGTGAAAAGAGAAATGAAGCAGTATCAATTCCATAAATCCGTTTCTTATAACTTAAACTATAATTAGCGATGATATTGGAAACATTCTATCCGAAGTTCGTCCATATGAAAACTATGTTTTCTGTTCATACAAAAACAACTTTAAAACAAAGAAATTCCTCGCTCTCTAAACAAGTGTTGAATAAACAGGTCTAAATTGAAAAGATAGAGAAAATTAAGACAATTGAATAACATCCAATACCATTCGAAGTTCTGGATGATATTAATATAGGATAGATGTTTTTTTAGTATAATATTTTTCACAACTAATTTCGAAAAAGCACCGTCACCCGGCTACTTTAATGAGAAGGAAGAGCTTTAAAGTTGCACAAATCGATTAAAAGATTGCTCCTTTTTCGTCAAAAAATCGTGCATCTCTCTTCTAGGAAGGCGACTCGATCAGTAAACGCTGTTGTTCAAATATTGCCACAATAATGGATGCAATGTCTTTCTTATTGGCCACACTTCTTCTCTTATCGAGCTTCAACAGTGCAGAAACTTGTGTTCAAGCCGTACTTGACAAGAATATTACTCGTTCAGCTTGGGTAAGAGTATTTAGAAATAATTTGTGAGTGTATCAAACTCGATTTTCTATACTCGTAAAGAGAATACTAAAAGTTGAACATCAGAGATTCAGCTACTCAAAGGTTCAAACTATTGTAGTTATGACTTAAATAGAAAATAGCTATTTGAACTCCTGCCATCTCCAAGATCAACACTCTGTAGTCTTTATCTCGTAGAAGATCGAACTCTCTTCAAGTTGTAACTACATTAAAGAATTTCTGACTTGGAAACAGTTTAACTTTCGTTACATCCATATTCTTTCATGTTCAGCTTTTAATGTTCCCTTGAATGAGATATCGATTAAGAGATTTCCAAGTATGTCCTATCGAATCTACATATCAAAAATAGAGCCGAATTCTTGTTCTGCAGTGAAGTCTGCTTGACATTTTCTGGAGATAGCCGTGATGAGAAGAAGATGCTCTGGCTACAATATGTATTGCAGCGTCATGTGTGAATAAACGATAAGTTAAGTGCTTTATTTCTTTCCTTACAGCAACTTCCGATAACCACCGAGGATCACAATAATGTTTTGGTAAAGAGAGCGTCAAGTATTAATGTGGCCCTGAACAAGCCCGCGTTTGCCTCATCAACCGACGACGCAACAAACAGACCTGCTCGCATGGCCTTCGATGGCAATAGCAACACACGATGGTCGTCTGCCTACGCAGACCAACAGTGGATATATGTAGACCTAGGTTCAATTCAGTCGATTACAAGCGTCGTGCTTCGGTGGGAAACTGCGTACGCACTCATGTTTCAGATTCAAACTTCGAATGACGAAAAAACGTGGACCACTGTGTATTACAACTACAATGGTAACGGTGGTACGAATACTATCCCTCTGTCAGTTAGTGCACGGTACGTGAAAATGTACGCCTGGCAAAGAGCCACCCAATGGGGCTACTCTCTATGGGAAATGGAGGTGTGGAGTTCATCCATAGATCCAAGTTCCGAACCAATCAAAGTGCTTGATTATCTCCAAAGTATCAGTGGTAGACAGACGGTCATCGGCATACATAACCGTGAGCCTAACTCTTCGCCCGCCATGCAGACAAATAGAGTCTTTAGCATTACGGGCCGTTGGCCGGGACTGTGGAGTGGAGATCTTCTTTTCAGTTCGAGCGATGTTAGCAATCGATGGGCAATGGTTAATGAAGCACTGAATCAGTGGAAGAGTGGAGCGATTGTTCAAATCATGATGCACGTCGTCCCACCCACTCAATCGGAACCTGGCAATTGGGATGGCGGAGTAGTCAGTCGTCTTAGCGACGGACAGTGGAACGATCTGATCACGAACGGTGGTGCTCTCAACAGAGCTTGGAAAGCGCGATTGGACAACTATGCACAGTACTTTCAATATTTAAAAGATAATGGCGTTCAACTTCTATTCAGACCTTTCCATGAAATGAATCAAGGCGTTTTCTGGTGGGGCGGTAGGACGGGCTCCAGTGGTACAGCAGCCTTGTTCCGTCTGACTCGTGACTATCTGGTCAATACAAAAGGCCTCACGAACCTCATCTGGGTTTGGAATATGCAGGATCTAGATTTCAACTGGAGTGTTTATAATCCTGGAAATAGCTATTGGGATATTTTCTCGCTCGATGTCTACAACGAAGATGGTTTTACTATGCAGAAGTATAACACAGCCTTGAGCATTGCCGGCGGCAAACCAATGGCTATTGGAGAATGTTCCACTTTGCCAACCTCGAATCAACTGGCATCCCAGCAGAGATGGGTATTCGTGATGAGTTGGGCGGAACTTACATTCACTAGCAATACAAACGCACAAATTCAAGCCCTTTATTCTGCACCAAACGTCATAACAAAGGACAAATTGCCAAGATTTTATTGAAAATAAAAATCTACATCTTTTGTCTGTTCACTCATCCAATCGTATTTTCTCTGATTAATACAGAATAAATCTATGGAAAACATACCATCTTTCCGGAAAAGTTCTTTTGGTACTTTTTTGAGCTTATTACATTTTAAAAGAAATAGGTGTTTCACTGAACTTCAAAAGTTCCTAATTTTTGCATCCAATCATTTGAAGTTCAGCAGATTTAATGATGTTTCGGAATTTACAAACGAAATCTTATGAGAGTTCCATAAAGTGGTTTGTGATTTCGCACATCATAGACAAAACTTCTGATAGTTTTATTAATTGTTCATGGTTTAGTACATCTTTCACTGACTCTGTAGCAGTTTCATAAGTTAATATATAGTTTCCTAGATCATGTACGCCAAGTCTTCGATGATGTTGGGGTGTGGGTGTTGATCTGTCTAATTGAAAGCCTATATTACTTAAAAATCAAAATGGAAAGATGTTAGTAAGAGTAATATTTGTTGAAGACAATGAATCTTTACTCTTTTAATGAAATGAATGACAAAGACTACTGAAGAAAAACAAAAAAAAGAATTATGTGCATGAACTGACAAATCATCATGAATACAATTAAAGGTCAAACATTAGAAAAAGATAAAACTGAATTAAGAATTGTTATTGATGTTTCCACATAGTAACACCAATCATTTTTTTTTAATTCAATTTTAATTCGTCTAATATAAATGATAGTTCAATTAATCATTTTCTTTTTAACGTTAGACTGCGTTCCACTATCTTTCAGGGAATCAGTATGAGTTCCGTTTGTTTTCAGCCTCTGATATCAATAGTCAACAATTTGTCTCATTTTAAAATCTTTCAATCTAACAGATATATAAATTTTCAAATTTTAAATCGAAAGAATGAATAGTGAATCCATTGTGGAGAGGAATAATTTCTTTTCTCTTATCATGTCAGTCATTCATTACTTTGTTTCTTTTATAGATGAAGATGAAGCACGTACATTACATCGAAAAACATTTTTTTATTCATTCGATAATAAGTGATAAGCAAAGAATCATGAAATTTGAACTTTTACCAAACGAAATTTTATGCTTGTGTTTTCAATATCTCAATATATTGGATATATTTTATTCATTTGATCAAATAAATAATCGATTTTCAAAACTTATTCGAACTATTCGATTTCAACTTAATTTTGAAAATGTACAAAAAACAATATTTGATAAATTTTGTGCAAAAATGAAATTAAATCCCGAAATTCAAAAACAAATTTATTCATTAAAATTATCAAATGAAGATACATGTGGTCAAATCGATGCATTTTTATCAATATTTTCACTTAATCAATTTTCTTCTCTTCAATCATTAACATTATATGAAATTGAAAAAGAAAATATTGAAAAATTGAAAATAATATTACCATTAACTTCCTTTCATATGATTTGTGATAAATTTCAAGATAATGAAATATTTGATATTCTTCCAATGTTTAATCTTCGAACATTATCAATATCATCATTACATTCTATTGAGAAACGTATTAACGATACTTCAAATATTATAAATTTAACAATTCATGATTGTTCTTTAGAACATTTGTTATATCATATGTTCAAATATTTTCCTATGTTAAAATATCTAAATGTTGAATATATTACTCGAAAAAATCGTCCAATAAAGAATGATAATGATGATTCAATATTTAATACATATAATGGTATTCATTTAAAGCAACTAATTATTGGACTATTGGGTGTGGGTGTGGGTGTGGGTGTGGGGTGTGGGTGTGGGT